AAAGGTGGGATTGCACCGGATTCCTTTGCAAGAGGACTACGGGAGCAGGGCCGGCTCTAGGCACCAGCAAACCAAGCACATGCTTGGGGCAGCACATTTTCAAGGGCAGCATTCTGGCCATTTTTTTTGTGCTTCCGGCAGCAAACGCTTAGCGCCGGCCCTGATAGCAGCAGTGCGCGGGGGGCGCCCTGATGGCACTGCGATTCGCGCCGCGAGGGAGCAGCGCCCACACCTTGTGGCTGGGCCGGGCAGGCTTCGACCGGGGGACACTCAGGCTGGGGGACACCCCACGGGGCACACGGAGCCGCCTGCAGGTGCCGCAGGGCGGCTGCCCCCAGCGCTGCAGCCAGGGCTGGGCAAAGCGGCCCAAGCTGCCCAGGGACTGTGGCATGGCGGCCAGAAGCAGCAGCGGGGCCATAGAGGGCGGGGCGCTGTCAAGCGGGGCCTGCGTCCTGCTCTCCGGGGCTCGTTGCCTCTGGGGCTACCCTGCCCCGGCTCCTCAGCCCTCTGCCGGGGCGGTCCCCCAGCTCTGCCCTCCCAGGTCCCGGCCAGTCCTGGAGGCGAGAGCCCTGGATGGCGGGACCCTGGGCTGAGGCGTGGCTCGGGAGCCCTGCTGCTTACCCCGACCCTGCCAGCGCTGGACCGGCTGGAGGTGAGGGGGGAGCAGGCAGAGTCATCACTGGTGGGGGGAGGAGCCCAGGGCTGGGGCAGCAGGGGGTGTGGGTGGGGGGGGAAGGGAGACCCCAGGGCTGGGGGGGGGAAGAGAGAGCCCAGGGCTGGGGTGGCAGGGAGGGGAGAGAGAGCCCAAGGCTGGGGTGGGGGGCAGCCAAAATTTTTTTTGCTTGGGGCTGCCAAAAACCTAGAGCCGGCCCTGTATGGGAGAATGTGGCAGTTACTATGCAAGAAACATGGGATCTCTGTAGGTGCATAGCATGTTCTGGTAGAAACGTCTCCAAAGGGAAGTTGTGAAATACCTTTTGCTTCAGTTATTCAACCAGACTTGATAAAACACTAGTGAACAAATGAAAAGGATAAATCCAATCCTGACAGGGAGGTAAATTGACTGATTTTAGAAAATGACCTATAACTTTTATAAACTATCATATAAAATGACAGAAAAGAATCCATGATCTTTATCCCTTCTAGTAATAGAAATTAATTACACAGAACAAATTCGCCTCGCCACTCCTCAGTTTCCCCAATCTGTAAAATAGGAATAATGATCCCTTCCTTGCTAAAGCACCCGGAGATCTGTGGATGAAAACTTCCATATATGGGTAAAGATTATAAAATGCAGTAAAGTTCGTCTGTATAAAAAGTTATATTTCATGGATCTGACTTCACAGCTGTGAAATCTTGCCTTTTGGTCACATCATAGCTGTGAAATCTGACTTTCTCCCACTAACTAGCAGTGGGAACTTTGGTATATCCATTATATACACACAGAATACTAATAACTGACAGTATTAAATCCCCAGAACACTGGATTTTCCTTCTAAAATTTGGCAGTGACGTAGGTTTTAACATGAGTATGAGAGTTTGTTGCAAGAAATCTTAATCTGGATTGAATATGTATCCTTTGATATACCAGCTGCATGCATCCTTTTTCCATGCAAAGGGTGGGTGTCCAAACCAAACCACAAGCCTCCCTCTACATCTGTTCTATTATATTAATTATTAGTCATCATCACCCTATCACCGTCTCTCATCAGCGAGGCTGTTGCTATCATTTCCCTTACTATAAGGCATGTTGCATGGTACTGCCAACCAGCTGCAGCATGTTTATTTTGGGCTACTGACAAGTTTGGCAGGAAAAGAAATGACTGGTGATTTCCAACTTTTCTCCAGTAGAGCTGAGCAGGGGGGGGTTCTAAAACTGAACATGACCCTGACAGCAAATTCAGATTGGGTTTGGAAACCAGGAAATCATATAACCGAGAATAAAACCTGGTTTATACTCTCAGTACTTTTTATCATGTATGTAAGGCTATTATCCACTTACTTGCAAAGCTGTTGTTTTAGAAAAATGTCCCTATGAAAGGAATGAGAGTGTATGGAAAACACATGGATCTTACAAGTAATAATACTTAGTGCTTGTGTACTGCTGTTCACTTAAGTGTCCCAAAGCATTTTATAAACATTAATATATTTAACTGCAAAATGTACTTGAAAAGTAGGTAAGTGGCATTACACCCATTTTACAGATGGGTACATTGAGGGTGAGAGACTTGCACAGGTGTAATGAATCTATATACTTTAAACAATCTGTTACACAGCAAAATAGTGCCAGGTCGGATAAGAACTCAGAAGCCTTAACTCCCAGGTCCTTTCTCTAGTCACTAGACCATACAACCTCATATACACTACTAAGGTGTCAGCATACATTTGTTCCTGTATTAGACGATATGTTCATGTGATCACTAGTGGTATATGCTTAAAACTTAAAGGTACAATTTTCAATGTTACAAAATAATTGTTAATAAAAATATTGAATAATAGTTTACTAAAATCCCCTGAACTGTTTATCATTGCTGTATTTTGGAAGAGCAGTGTAAAATTTATTCCTGTAATATTAAGCACTAAATGGATGTCTTTATGATTGGAGCAATTTATTCCTGTTATATGAATGATCATATTGGTCCACACCCATATTTTCCATCCAGCCCTCTTACTCATTCCCTCTGGGTTGATGGAGTACCATTTGCAATTTAGAATTGGCACTTAGCCTCATTTAGCACATGAAACACCTAAATGAAAAGAATATTTCTAAATGCTCTATGTTCTTTTATTACTATAGTTGCTAGCAGATGGCTGCCTATTTACTTGAGCTCTATTGTCTGTTATCTTGTCTGTCAAGCAAGCTTATCATACTTACCCACAAGAGATGTACAAATGGGGCTAAACTCAGCCCAGGATCTATGCTGTCTTCTGCATCAGGCATTTTATGATAGATAATCTTCCAAAACCCCAGCCTGGCTCTATTGCTGATCCTTCCAATTAATTTACTGAGTAGATTTTATCCTTAAATCTGCCCCGATGCTAAAAAGAAGGCAGGGACCCTAGTAGTGAGAGCGCAGAACTGTGAGCTAACAACTCCTACACCCTAAACTTGTCTATATCATTGATTCCCTCTGTGGTCTTAAGCAAGTCTCTCTCTGCCTCAGTTTCTTCTTCTGTATCATGAGATATTTACTTTTCTACCCTACACATGTATCTTGAGGATGGATAAATGTGGGGGGGGGGGGGGCTAGGGCCAACCCTGAGGGGGAGGAGGACCTCAGCCCAGCCCTGCGTGGGCGGGAGGCACGGAGGGCTCAGGACAGCCTAGGGGTGTCCTGTTTTCCCTTTGGGAAAATATGGTCACCCTACCAAAAGGAACCACCACATCATCCAGTCTGATCTCCTGTATATCACAGAGCCCCAACACCACCCAACAACCAAAACTGCATCAAAATATTGTAGCTTACAGGAGACAAAACTATTATGTGCCAGAGACAGAGACTAGGAGGAACTGAGGTGCAACAGTGCCCAAGGCCCCTCAAGTGGCAGGAAATTGATTAAGTGAAATACACCTCTACCTCGATATAACGCTGTCCTTGGGAGCCAAAAAATCTTACCGCTTTATAGGTGAAACTGCATTATATTGAACTTGCTTTGATCCACCAGAGTGCGCAGCCCCGCCTCCCCTGGAGCACTGCTTTACTGCGTTATATCCGAATTCGTGTTATATCGGGTCGCGTTATATCGAGGTAGCGGTGTATACTCAAATAAGTGACCGGCACCCACGTGCTGTAGAGGAAGGAAAAAAACCCTCCTCTCTTCCCCCTGCTAGGTCACTGCCAATTTGACCTGGGGTAAAATTCCTTCCCAATCTTGCATAGAGCGGTCAGTTAGACTCTGAGCATGGGAGCAAGAACTAGCCAGCTATGCACCCTAGAGAGAGAGAACGCTTATTGCCGCCTCAGAACACTGGCCCACCCTATCCACTGGTCCATCTCCAGCTGTGGAGATAATCCTTAGTGTTGCTAGCCTCAGAAATCATGGGGCACCTCCTCCCAATCGGAAAAAAAAAAGCGGGGGCGGGGGGAAATCACAAGATTGTTTTAATCATGTCAATAAATCTTTGTTTTAGACTGAAGATAGCATTCGGTATAATGGAGTGGTGTCAGAGGACCTCCTGGGGAGATGGGATTGTATGAATGATTTTTGGCAAGAGGAAAAAAGGATAGGTATGGTTCTTGTCTTTAACAAAATTCTCTCCACGTTCTGGCCCTTAAAATATGTAGCTGTATTAGATTCTTGTTGCCATTGCATCTGGGTCCTGTACAAAATCTTAAAACAATACCCTATCTACACTGCTGTCAATCAACAGAGTATAGTAACCTTGAAACAGAAAGTTATAATTAACCTAGAAAATATAATTGCAAACTTCATATGGGATTTTAAAAAAACAGCCAAGATTTAAAAGACTCGTCTCACTAAATACAGGGAAGACTGGGGCTTCCTACTATGGAACGCTGATGCGTGGTTCTGTCTGATTCAGACATCCCCTTTCTTTAGGAGTGAGGCTAAGCCCTCAACATGAATGTGAAGTTAACAAGAGTCTTTTTATCGACTTCAATGTGCTTTGGATCAGGCTCTATGGCAGCAGGGAGAATTTGATGTACACCTTTTCCTTTCAAAATGAGTTAAATTCCCCTGCAGGTTGTTTCTGTTAAGCGGAGAAATTGATGATGGAGTCATCTATCTCTGATGCGGTTCGGTATATTTACAAAGACTGCACAAAGTCCTGTTCCCCTGAACACTCCAGGAATCAAACAAGAAACAGTTTTTTTGCTCATGGCTCCAAGTCTCTTTCAGTCAACAGTAGGCCCAAACCAGGGTTGCCAATATTGTATTTCAAAGATAGGGGACTGTTTTCTTAGCACCTCCGTCCCACCCCTCCTACCGATATTATTATTATCTTTGTTTATTAATTATTAATAATAAGCAGTACTCACCTACATTCGCCAGGGATATTTCTTGCTCCTTTTTGTAGCATTCAGCAACTCTAGACCTTGTTGTACAGACATGAAAAAGTAAGGGATGTCCCTTGTAACAAAGGACTGTTGGCAACCCTAGCCCAAAAGCACTCTCTCTAGGCTTTTCTCAGGATGACACACTCAGTGTTTGTTCAGGCTGTGTCTAGGGCTTCATTGCTGCTTTTTCCTTGCTTCTGTGATGGGTTTTTTGCTGCTTCTCTCTCATACACAGACACACATACCTCCATCAGACAATACCCAGCAAAAACCTTCCTTCCACATGATTCAAATTCCTGAGCAGACTAACATGTGCCTCTATTTTGGCCAATGCCATGTGCCTATGTTTTGGGTTGAGGCCCTTAATATTTTGTACATTTATCCCAAAATGAAGGGTGGCTGCTACACTTACCAGTTTTAACAAGGTTTAACCCAACCAATAACAATACAGGATAATATGGAAATCTGAATTCCCTTCCAAGAATCCTCTCAAGCCTCTTTTTGGTAACATGCAGAACTTAAAAAAAAGAAGCAGGATGAGGAGAGATTGAAGAGAAGGCACCAACTGAGGTCCGAAGGTGTCACAGGGTGGATTGGCCTTTTTAAGGGAGTTGAGCTCAGCCCAGTCCATCTGTGCTTTGTTAGCTGCCTGCCTCCCCTGATGATGGGCTTTGAGGCAGATAAAAGGGAGTGCTCAGCTGAGATGAGGGGCCTGTGAGGGGCAGGGAGGAGAGGAGAAGAGAAATAGCTCTCTACATCAGACAAAAGAAAAGGGCTGATTGGTGTTACCTGCAGTGAGGGGCAGAAACTGTAAGAGAGAGAGGCTTGAGAAAACACAGGCAGTAGGGTTGGGAGGGAACAGCTGAGCCCAGCATGGCGGTGAAAAACTGCAGAGTCTCAGAAAAAAGTGTTTTCATTTAAGTTGACATCTGCACTGCGCTGTTGTTTTCACAAACCAGAAGGGGTGTTATTTCTCTCATATGAGAGCCTGGGTGCAGTTATTGGGAAGCCCAAAGAGGGGAAACCAAGGCAGCAGCAGCAGCAGATTCGGAGGCTGCATTAGATAAGGAAAGGATTTCTGGCTGTGGGATGATCTGGTTTTATTTGAAAACGTGTGAAACATGAGCCTGATCCTTCCCCATTGAAGTCAGTGGAAGTTGGCTCAAACCCAATACTTTCTTAAAGGGAAGAACAGCTAAAAAGAGAGACCATGATGTGAAAAAACCCCAAATTAATCCCACATAGCCCTGTTCATGCAAAAGCCCTTGACAATGTCCCTTAGTTTCAAAGCCTACTCCTTATCACTGGAACTGTCATATCCAAATTCTACTTCTCACGCTCTGAGTAATATGAATTAAATCTGCATTTTTAATAGCCATCACTGTTTAAGGCTTTTAGACGTCACTAACAAAATAGCAAAGGAGACCGAACGGAAGATGATGCAGTTTTAAATAGTACATAGGATGTGCTGGGTTCCTTCATCTGCTTTAAATGGGGTTAAAGGTGTGATGTATGTTTAGCAATGTGATAAATGAGGAGGAAGCTTATCCATATTATTTGCTCATGTCCTAAAATTAAGAGCTTGGTTTGAGGTGGTTTATGTGATACATGGAATCTACGAATATAAATTGCCACCTTTGCTGCAACTATCTCTTCTAAATGATTTTTCCATGTTTCAGAGTGCAACTAAAATCTCTTAAAAATGGGTGGCCATTGCTCTTTCTTGTGCAAAGCAATTGATTCTGAGAGGGAAACGTCAATGTTCTAGTTATTAAAGGCTGGAATCTGGAAATGACTGAACTGGCCTCACATGAATACCTAGTATATAACTTAGATGAATTTAATTCATTATGGTCAGAGTTCATCTGCTTTTTATAGGGTAGAGGATATAGACATTCCAAGGGGATTAGAATTTAAATTATACTGTAGGTTTGTGACAGAGGGCAGAGTGGCGGGGTGGAGGGAGTGGAGCATTTCCATTTTTTCCCTGATTGTCTGGGGTTTGTGTGGTATTGGTTATACTGGATTTATTTTTATGTTATATTTTGCCTTAGTTAGTTAGAGCAGGAGCTTGTTGGCACCTCCAATAACAAGTTGCAATGAAATTGTTATGCTAACTCCATTTTCTCCTGCTCACAACTCCCTAAAAAGTTCTTTGGGGCTAAAATATTTTATGCCTTGTTTCAGCTCTCATGTAACTTTTTTCTGGAAAGTTTGAACAAAATTCCTTCACCAGTTTCTTGAGCTTTGTGAGGGGGTGAAAAAGAAACATATTCCATTGTAAGAAAACATTAACATGAACTTTGCGTGTGTTCACGCAACTTCAAAATTACTATTTTAAAATGTGAAAGGTTTATTAGCTAAAATTGCCTGAGTAGACTTTTCTTTCAATTTACATGGGGGGGTTGGAAAATGCTTTAAAAATCTTTGTGCATGGAAGAATGAGGCCACGTTTTTGGCATTGGTGTTTGTTTATATAGAGTAGAGTGACCTTTAGATTTTAAAACACGTTAAAACAATATTTAATTGAGTTTTGTTCCTAGGCAAAGGTAAAAATGGCCAAAACAGTCCAAACTTGACCACTGGGGGAGTTTTAATCATGTCAATAAATCTTTGTTTTAGACTTTGAAGATAGTCTAGTGTTTTATGTGGCTTCCATGCTGCAGATGCCACTCTGAGAGGAAATATGACTCATATCTTCACTACTCTCTACATTTCCTTTGTGGTGTAAGGACAAATAGCACTGTCAACATGATTGAGGGACCTTTACCCTTTGTTGGCTACGCTGTTGAGCAGAAAGGCCTTCGGAGAATTCCTGGGAGGTTCAGGGCAAGTTACACTTCAGAAAAGCCTTGTACAGATAAGATGGTTTTGACCTGGGGAACTAACTGCAAGTGACTTTCAGCCTTATTGCACTAATGCTCCGTTCAGCTTATTGAACATTTGTGCCTGTGTATTCCTCCCAGCTCTCCCTTCTGTTGAGAGTGCAACCCTTGCATGGGAGCCGCGATACGAACTGCATCACGAAGCTGGATTGCCATTCTTAAACATTCAGATATCATGAGTTAGGCCACAAAAAATCGTGAGATTCTACTCTCTCTCTATTCTTATTCTGCCCTCATCACCATAGTATCTGTAACTTCCAGTAGCGCACTAAGTGACCAGACTAAGGTCTGGCGGGTGTGATTCACACTCTCACCCATCCTCTCCTTTGAAATTGGCTTAAAAATCATGAGATTATTCTTTTTAATTGTGTGTGGGGGCAGTATGTGCCCTCTTGTTTCTGGGCCTTTAGGGCATGCTTGCTTTATATCTTGGAGCTTTTTCTCTACAACCACGAGGGCTAAAATCTTTGTCTTTATGAAAGCTGAGATTCTCATGCAATCTCTTAAAGCCTCAGCTGCTGGCATTCGAAGAAAAGCACCAAGCATTGTGAGACTTATGATAAAATCGTGAGTTGGCAACACCGCAAAGGGCTTTTTTTTTGGTAAGGCGTTGATTGCCCCCAACTCAGCCTCTTGCGGGAGGCACTCAGCAGGATTGGGCTCTATTTCTCTGTCATTCTAATCTCTGATAGAAAGTTTTCATCATAAAAAAAGCTTTTGCTATAGACTCTTTGCAATGCAGAAATAGATTGCGTATTGAAATCCTTATGCTCCTGGGGAGCACAAATACCAGTCTCTCCTGCCAAATCTCTCTCCTTCCCCCTGCTATAACAGCTCCACCCAGTTGTGGTTGCACTTCAGTGATGCTACTAAAGACAAGATACAAAAAAGCACAAGTCTCATTCCCTGTGTGTTTGGATATACAGAAAATAGAATCATCACTTGCCTATACACCTTGGGATGTACGTGCAATTGAGTAAGGTATGTTGCAATTCTGGGTCTAGCCCTTAGAATTACATCTGAGACCCCAGTGTTATCTTTAATGCCTTGTACCGTGTAATTAAATTCTAGAAATAAATCATAAATGAGAAGAGAGCGAGAGAATCAGAAAGAGCAGTAAAACAAAACTATATATAGCATAAGAGGTAAAGTAGCTTGGAGCCATAACCTCTAGCTACAGTAATACAACTAAGTACCTCTGCCTCAATTTACAGATTACAGGAATGCACATAGTCATCACCACCAGCAGCATAAATATTGGATGGCTTCACACCTCTCTCTTTTCCTTACTATTATTATTTAATGTGGTAACTTTTCAGTATCTCCCTACAATGGAAAGACAAGAGGGACACATTTTCTTTCTTATATAGTTGCAATCAAGTGCAGGAGAATGTCTGAGGAGAAAATTGGTCATAGACCTACTGAGAAGCCAGAAACTGGACAATAGCATTGATTAATCTGTCATGAGTCTGCAGGCTGTCTTCTGTGGTGAAAATCACTTTGCCTGCAAATTTTATAACCACTCAATGTCTTTCCAGTCTTTGTATTTTATCCCTATTTTTTAGACCTATCCTTACTTTGGCACACACTACCTGCTAATACCCCATACAACTGGGGGGGGGACGGGGACGGATGAATCAAGAGCAGTATTACTGAAAGCCAAATCCAGTGTTGTCTAGGGAAAAGGCTGGGTTTCAGCCACAAACTTTGTCAAATCTGGAACCTGACTAAATATTTGCAGCACGGGGCATTGAGATGAATCATGTAATAAGGCTAACCTGGTAGAGCTCACTCTTCAGGGAAGGAAAGCAGGTGTCAGGAATGGACCACACACATGAGATAGCTTGCTCCATGAAGATTTAGGGTTTGTCTTTGCTCTTTACAGATGAAGAAATAAACATATAAGGCCTAGGTACATCTATACACTGTTACTCTGGCATGGCCCTGGTGGCTTTCATAATAAAACACAGGGAGACCCATGGGATAGTCCCAGGGTTGTGAGGCACCTCACCACTACCTGCCCTTAGTGTGAAGCAGTCTTGTCTGTGCCTGCTATAGTTCAGCTCCCTGAAGCCAATAGTCGCTGGCTAAGCAGTGCCTTCTAGGTCTCCGGAGACCTTGCTCTCTCTCTTTGCACAAGCTAGTGATAGGCACATGCCCAGGGCCGGCTCTAGGATTTTTGCCACCCCAAGCAAAAAAATTTTTGGCGCCCCCCCTTTTTTGTGCCGTATTCCTCCCAGCTCTCCCTTCTGTTGAGAGTGCAACCCTTGCATGGGAGCCGCGATACGAACTGCATCACGAAGCTGGATTGCCATTCTTAAACATTCAGATATCATGAGTTAGGCCACAAAAAATCGTG